AACTGCCCATGGCTTCAGTGAAGGGCTGTTGAGCCTTTGTGAATGATTTACCTGTGACAACATTAACAGTAGCTGTTAAAGCATTTGACTTTTATATTAGCTTAGCGCAGAAACGGGTGTTTAGCATGCAAGCGATGACAGATCGCACTGTGTGTACTTACTCTTCCAGTCACCACAAAACAGCTTTTTGTTGGCAAATGCCAAAGCTGGACATTGGACACAAACCCGGATTGTGTCCATTTATATCCGTCCAGACTTTTGTAAGCCTTCAGCAAATCCCCCGTGTAAAAGGATGGGAAATCAATTAAGTAATTGTAAATATCTGGGCATTGCAGATTTGGTGGACTCACAACACAATCTAGGCCTTTAAAAAACAAGCCAGGAGCAAAGTAAGGGTTGCTAATATTCAACCGGTTGAGTTTGGCAATATACCGTGCCTTATCAATGTCATTAAATGACACTGTGAACTCCGAAAGTAACAATTTTCCACCGCTGTCGTTCATTGTTTTTAGCTTGGCGCCGCTGTTTATTCCTGCCGTCATGGTGATGCTAACATCGTTGGTCACGTGGGGTCCGGAGCTCTATACTCTCAGCTCTCCCACGCCAAGAAAAAGAAAACAAAGGAAACTCCCTAGAAACAATCCAGAGAATGGCGCACACCGAGCCGCGCATCCTCCACCAAATCTGTCAGGAATGAAGCAGACAGAGACAGATCGTGGTGCGCCAAACTCTGGAAGTTTATTTAAGTTTCTCTCAAGTTCCAGTGGTTTCCATTGCTTCTTTCTCTCAGACAGAATAAGGGCAGTACACAGTTTATATAGTCATTGTCACGTCACACATGGAAAGACGTACGTGTCACACAGAGACGGTCACATCATAGTCAAAATAATCAGAGTCCTTGTAGAGTCCTGCACGTAGGCCATATTGCTATCTAATACTAACAGAATTACAAATTTTAAGAATTGTATTAAATTGACCTCCTGGCCTTAAATGTTGATATAAAATAAGTCATTTTATAATTCTAATATTACGGGTAAGTCCCGCCTTCCCTTCTCTTAGCTATACAGTGGGGCATTTAGTCAGCCACCAATTGTGCAAGTTCTCCCACTTAAAGGGGAGAGTCTGTAGCTACGTGGGCGGATTGAGTTTTAAACTAAAGGCTGACCTTCATGCCACAGCTGCACGCACACACACACGCCGTTCCACACTCGCGCACCCCTTCCCCCGTTCCATTCGTACAGAACATCCACACGCATCATGCATTCTCTCGTCCGTCTCTCCCCTCAGTTACTAGTTCGCCCAAAGGTGCACACATGTGCGGGTCAGAAATACACATAAGCATACATTCATACACCTATCGGTCTATCGCGCTCCTCTGGGTCTGTGTGCTAGGATCAAACCAGGACCTAACTTCCTGGTGGGTTAAATGCACCCTGGGAGCGCAGCGAATTGTGCTCATGTGACGCGTATAATTAAATGTACATGTTTTGACTGTTTCACGGCCTAATATTTTATGGTAAATAGTAATTTTCTGTGTTGGACCAGTAGGGAATGGGCCCCTATATTTGTTGTCTGTTTATACGTCCCGTTTCCAATGATTTATTTTGCTCAATGTGAGTAACACGCAGGGCCCGGACAGTTAGCACAGACCCAGACCATCCCCTCCACACCCACTTCACTCTGCTGCCCTCAGGATGCAGAAACAGAACATTAAGATGGAAGCGGGCAAGATTTAGTAAGAGTTTTGTCCCTTCAGCCATTGTAGCTCTTAACAGTCTGTAATTTTGCCCTTGTTCCTGTGTTGTATGTGTTTCTTGTGTCTATTGTAACCTGTCTGTGAAAATGAGTTTCCCCCAGGGGACAATAAAGGTCAATCTATAAAGAAGAGCCGTGTTTGGCACACCGTCAGTCTGCCGCTGGTTACAGAGGCGGTAACTACTTAAATGACTACTTAAAGGTGACCTACTGTATGTGTCAGTCTGAAATTCACTGTACATATACTCTGTACAGCCTGCGCTATTTTTTTTGCACTTTGGGAGAATAAAAACACACCTAAACACAGCAATCCGAACTCTCCTGTTTTATTTTTAAAGTAACAGAAGACATGTATAATTTATTTTTATTTTTTTGTAAACCGGGAATTAAAAAAAAAAAATCAGAATGAAACTCTATTCATAGTGTGTTGAGAAGAATGATAAATAATGTCAAAAACATCAATACCTTCATCATGCAGGAACTGCTGACCCACTCTTGTCACATGTGGCCTGGCATTATCAGGCATCAGAAGGAACCCAGGGCCCACAGCACCAGCATATGGTCTTACAATAGGTCTGAGGATCTCATCCCTGGTGTACTGGCCTGTCTGCTGGTATCTCCTCCATACTCTGGACACTGCGCTGGGACACGCAGAAAACCTTCTTGCCAGAGCACGAATGGACGTGCCATTTTGAATGAGCATCACTCCTTGAGCAACTTCTGTGGGTTGTAGATGCCTCCTACCTCTAGTGGTGAGAACACTGGACAAATGCAAAAGTGTTCAAAAAATACGGTACAAAGAATGAAGACAGGGAAATGATCATGACAAAACGATTCCTCTTCAATCTTGCCAATTGCCTCTTATTTACACCTGTTGTCTAATTTCCACAAGACCAGGTGTAATTGATTTACAATAAGTGTGGCTTCCTAACTTTAGAGTCTGATATCCCAAAAATTTGACTGACATTTACATTGTGTTTTTTTTGTGTGCCTTGGATTTTGGGACCCGTGTATTTTTTGCTCTATATCGCCCAGCCCTATATTAATGACATGTCTTTGTTGTGTTTGTTGCAGATCTACAAAGTCCATCTACAGAATGGGGGTTACCTGTGATCAGTGTGGAAAGACCTGCAGCTCTGCTTGTGCACTAAAGACTCACTACAGAACTCACACTGGAGAAAAACCATACGAATGTGATCTGTGTGGAACAGGTTTTACTAGAAAAGGAAGTCTTGAGATCCACAGCAGAATCCACAGTGGAGAAAAGCCCTTCAGCTGTGACGTGTGTGATCAGAGTTTTAGAGACCGTGGTACTCTCAAAAAACATCAGAGTATCCACACAGGAGAGAAACCATTTGAGTGTGACCAGTGTGGAAAAACATTTAGGATCAAACAGCTGCTCTCAAAACATCAGCATGTCCACACTGGGGAGAGACCTCACCATTGTGACCAGTGTGAAAAAGCTTTTACACGTTTATCTGACCTCACTGTGCACTACAGAATCCACACTGGAGAAAAACCTTTCGTCTGTGGAGACTGTGGGAAAGAGTTTACTAAGTTTTCAAACTATAAAACTCATGAGAGAATCCACATTGGAGAAAAACCATTTGCATGTGACTTCTGCAGTAAAACTTTTAGAACTGCAGCAGATCGCACACTTCACCACTGGAGCCACACTGGAGAGAAGCCGTACAAGTGTGATCAGTGTGGAACAGGTTTTACTACAAAAGGAATTCTCAAGGTCCACAGCAGAGTCCACACTGGAGAAAAACCCTTCAGCTGTGACGTTTGTGATCAGAGTTTTACTCAGAAGTCTAATCTCAAAGAGCATCAGAGTATCCACACAGGAAAGAAACCATTTGAGTGTGACCAGTGTGAAAAAACATTTAGGAGCAAATTTCTGCTCTCACAACATCAGCGTGTCCACACAGGAGAGAAACCTCACCAATGTGACCAGTGTGAAAAGACTTTTAGACGTTTAGCCTACCTCACTCGACACTACAGAATCCACACTGGAGAAAAGCCATTCCCCTGTGGAGACTGTGGGAAGGAGTTTAGTCGCTGTTGTAGTTTGAAAAGTCATGAACGAATCCACACTGGAGAAAAACCATTCGCCTGTGGATACTGTGGGAAGGAGTTTAGTCGCTTTTCAAACTACAAAACACATGAGAGAATCCACATGAGAGAGAAAATATTCGAGTGTGATCAGTGTGGGACAGGTTTCACTACAAAAGGAAAACTCAAGATCCACAGCAGAATCCACACGGGAGAAAAACCATTTGCATGTGATTTTTGCAGTAAAACTTTTAGAACTGCAGAAAAGTGCACAGATCACCACCGGAGCCACACTGGAGAAAAGCCGTACAAGTGTGACCAGTGTGGCACAGGTTTTTCCACAAGAGGAAGTTTTACTAAACACAAAAGAATCCACACTGGAGAAAAACCATACAAGTGTGATCAGTGTGGAACAAGTTTTACTAAAAAATCAAACCTCAAGGTCCACAGCAGAATCCACACTGGAGAAAAGCCCTTCAGCTGTGACGTTTGTGATCAGAGTTTTAGACAAAAGGGTAATCTCAAAAATCATCAGATGATCCACACTAGAGAGAACTGCTGCAACGTTCTTCCCCCACCTCTGCACGGATATCGTCTTGTACGAGTTGGCGCTTCTCCTTACCACGGGCCCGTTCTCCCAGTCCTGACAATAATCCCTGCTGTGGTGACCTTGACATCTGCAGAATCCCTGTACATCATTACTCCTCTGCCACGGGTGACTTAGAATTCTTCCGACAGTCCCCTGAGAGGGAGGTGTAGCATGGTGGATTGACCATAAAGGTCAATGCTGCTCAAGAACCGAGGGAGACCCAGTCATTTCCTCAAAAACTGGCTGATGGTCTTCTCCAGTTCAACTGTTGTTATTGGTACCTCATACCAATAACAACAGTTGATAGGGGCCACAGTATTCTCGGTAGGACTCCATGCTGGTTCATCCATGCTTTGAATTTTCCTGGGAGACCAGATTTGTCGATGGTTGTGAGCCAAGCCATGTCAGGTCTGTCTTTGTTTGCTGCAAAGCTACTCTATCCTTCAAGGAGCGATTGAAGAGCTTGCTCAGGCTCTTGAAAGGTCTTTCTGTCACTGAGGGAATCCTTGTCCCGCTAACCGTGAAATGGAACTGGTCAGACTTTTCCTTTTTAAGCTCTAAAGATCTGGACTTAGCTGGTTTGAAGCTCATCCTTGCCATAATGAGCCGTTCCTGGAGGAGTCACCTGTCCCTCAACTTGACTTCTCTACATTCGACTTCAGCAGACTTGACAATCACGTTCATGGCCAAGGAGAAGAGTGACACCGAGATTGTGCATCCGGTGATTATGCCCTGCTCCAAGTGGTGCCAGGCTGGTGGTGAGTCTGGCACTGAAGTTGTTGTAATAGTCCATGATTAGGTTGCATATCTTTTTAGGAATGTGTTGTCTTGTCAAAGCAGTTTCAACAAGTTTCTGCAGGATTGATTCATAGGCATCATAATAAATCACAGACAAGAGGAGGCTGTTCCACAGTTTAGGAGAGGTCTGAGAGAGTGTAAGAGGACCAGAAGACCTAGACGTACCGGCCGGTATTCCAGTTTCCCTCAGACACCTGAATGAACTGGAATACCAGTCAGTAACTCCAGGTCCTCTGCGACAGATTGGTAGCAGGCAGTTCTCCAACAAGTGCAGAGGAATGTGATAAGATTTTCCTCGTTTAGACTCTCCTTTCTTCCACTCAACGGGCACTTTCTAAATACCGGTAGGCCAGTTTATAAAGATTTAAACATTAAGAAATGTAAATATTGATAGAGAAATGCTATAAACATGGGCGTAAATGGGTTCTTGTGAACTGGACACACCATCGCCATGGAGAAGCCAGAAAAACACACATGTTTCCATCCAACATCGTGCCTTAGGCTTACCTTGTGAGAAATCCAAAAACAAAATACAACATTTTTGTCAATCTGTTTACCGTTGCTTGATTTGGTATTCAAAATTCAATAATTAGCCTAAAATTCCTTTGCAGACGCACCCCTCAGTTTCTGGCTATGCCTCTGATGACAACAATGACTTTACATTAATGATTATTCTGCCCAATTATACATTACCATCATAATCATTGACTGACTGACCATGCTGACCATGCCATGCATTCAGTCATTGCACATTGTGTTGCATCAAATGATAATTATGATAATCCTTTTTACAAACTTTATGTATAAAGAGGCATAAAGACCCTCTGCCGATCATTTAAGTGAGTAATCTTTATTTATGTAGTGCCTCTCACAGACCAGAGTCACAAAGAGCTTTACAAGTGTTGTCTCTCGCTCCACACAGAGATGGGAGCGGGGTCACCTACAGAGGGCACACGCCAGACCTATTGTACATGCATGGTAGGGTAAACCGGAGCACACAGAGGAAACTGGAGCACCCGGAGGAAACCTACGCTGATCTTAATGCTGAGAAGCAAGAGAGCGTAGCACTTAGCACCAAGTGAAGCTTTTCATCTCTCTTGCATAAAACAGCTGAAGTTTGTCAAAGGAACGCTTGTACAGGACGGATGAAAGTAGCTTCTCCAGTCCACGAGGAGGAGGTGCGATAGTGCTTTAACAGCACCTCCCTCTTCGCAGCAACAGCCACTCCTTAGCAATTTGTCTAAACCTGAGATAGTTGTCCAATATGTGCACAGAACCCTGTTTCTTCAGACCCAAGCTGCCTCGTGCACCCTGGGGCTACCATCTTTGACAAACACACAACTCACTTGTCCAAGAAATCCGGCGCTCTGATTGGTTGAAACTGAGTCAATGACGATTTACATACTACTTTACATGATAAGTTCAAATTTCAATTTGCGCTTGCAAAAATACAAGAAGATTCTTTGTCCATGAGCGTGTATATTGATATGTATATAGTGACGTATGTGCATGTAAATATCATCAACAACATGTATCGGTGATGGTGTTTTGGTAACAGGGGTAGGCCCAGATCACTGTTCCAGCTTCTGCCAACTCCATTTTGGGCTCTTGTATTTTCTGTGCTTCTCTTTTGTTTGATTGTTTTTGTATCTTTTAGATGCCCAAATAAACACACATCATAATAATAATTGTGTGGAAACTTCATGTTGTTGAAAAGCACAATTTCCCTGACGCTGGAACAGAAGTTAATCATATTTGATCTACATGTACTACACCTCACTGATCTGACAGGAGCAGACCGAGAGGAGAGAGACAAACATACGAAAGAGAGGAGAGGGAGACGAAAAATAGGAGAGAGAGAAGAGGGAGGTGAAAGAGGAGAGAAAGAAGAGAGAGAAGAGAAGGAAGAGAAAAAGAGTGAGAAAAGGGCGACAGAATGTAAAAGAGTTGAAAGAGGGAGACAAAAGAGGACTCCAACCCTTTCTTCTCTCCACTCTGAGGGGTACACAGGAACTTATTTAAATAAAAACAATTTGTTTAAAAAAATATATATGTTTTTCTTGTTGTGAAGAAGGTTCCAAAGATACAGCACTGTTTGGGTTTGAGTCTGAGTCGCTACCGCGGAAACGACACATTTTCAACTTTTATACACTGCGGCTGAATTATCTACAAACGCCAAGAAGTTCAAAGAAGGTAGGATGTTATTTATGTGTGTGAGTGTGTGTCTGTGCCTGTGTGTATCCATCTGTGTGTGTCTGTCTCTGTATATCCGGCCTATGTGTGTGTGTGTATCCATCTGTGTGTGTGTGTCTGTTTTGTATGTGTGTTATGTGTCTCTCTCTCTTTGTACCTGTCTGTTATGTATGTATTTGTGTGTGTCTGTGTATGTTTGTGTCTCTCTCTCTTCTATCGCTGCTTGTGTCTCTGGCCCTGCCTTATTCTCAGACAGAGAAGTGAGACGGAGAAGACCACCCTCTCTCAGCTCCAAAAAGAAACGTGTTTTTTCCTGTATCCACCACTAGATGGATCCAGAACGTACTTTTTCACCTTTATCCACAGTCGTCCCGGAGCAGTTCATTTGAGGCTTTTTGTTTTGAAAGTAACGACTGCTACATGTCTGTTTTTCATAACTCTGTCTCTATTTCTGGTCTGGATCAGTTTGTTCTGCTTTATTTAAGCCTCTTTAACCAGATTTAGCACTTATTAAAAGTGAGTGAAGTTAAAAAAATAAATCATAAGTGACTTTTAATAAAACTGGTGAAAAATGAATTTACTTTTTTAGATTTTCAAAATGCAATTGGTTTGAATGGGAGCAGTCAAAATGACGGCTCTGGGAGTTACAGTAGTTTCAGAATTGTGGGAGTTCTGGTGTAAACAATAAAAGTGAATACTCTGTCAGTGTGCCCCAGGGCAGCTGTGGCTTTAGTTGTAGTTTATCACCATAATGACGTGTGAAGCATCTTTGAGAGTCTAGAAAAGCTCTGCATAAAACCAATGCATCATTATCTTTGTTTCATATTTGGTTACTTCCTGGTTGTTTCCTGATTGTTTCCTTGTTGTTTCCTGATTTCTTCCTTGTTGTTTCCTGGTGCCACAGATGTCGTCGATGGAGATGGAGGTTTGTGGAGAGGACACTGTTCTGGGAGAACTACAGAAATATCTGAAGGATCTGTTCAACGATCAGCTCAGCGACTTCAACATGCAGGTACGAACAGGGACGAGGATCTGCTTTGCTCCACCTCTCTCCGGCTCCTATTGACTGCGTCACACTCATCATTTAGTATTTAAAAACACCCATAGTTTAATTTTCTCTGATCCTGGTGGTGTTGTTTTGATAGTGTCTTGACCAATCAGGCGCTCTCAGTCTCCAAATTTGACCTCGGCTATAGCAAGCAGACCATCGTAGCTCCTGATTGGAGCTAGATTCCCGCCCACGGAACCTGATGGAGTTCACCCTAATCAGCAGAAAATGAAGATAAATTGATACAATGCTTCTGAATTCTGATATAGCAACTGCTCAGCAACCAAAGAGATAATCAGGACGTGCGATGGTCTGTTCTCGCTTGTTTTGTTCTATCTGCTGCTGATCCTCGAAAATCAGGGGAAAGAAGGCTCCTGATTGGTCAGTTGTTATAGCTCATGTCTGGATTTACGTTTAGACATCACAGCATGAACACCAGGATCACATTTTAGAAATGTATCGTTAATATGGAACGCTGCCTTGCTATGTTCAGACTGGTCCAGTAGGAGGCCAGTCCCTGTCACAGGAGACAGTGCAGAAACCTGAGACCAGGACTGATGTGTTCTAAACTCAGTCTCCTGATGTTCTCCCTCTGTTCTCCTGATGTTCTCCTGATGTTCTCTTGATGTTCTCCTGATGTTCTCCTGATGTTCTTCTGTCCTTAGGTGAAGTTAGCGAAGCTGGAGCTGCTGCACCGCGGCTCCTTCCACCTGCAGTTGCGGCCGCAGCAGCAGGATGCCGGGGAGCTGCCGGTGGTGGACCCTCGCAGCATGAAGCTGGCGCTGGAGCAGGCGCAGACTCACGTGAAGCTGCTGCTGGCCCTGATGGACCTGCTGCTGGAGGAGATCTGCCACTGCCGCCACCTGCTGCAAAGCTTCCTGCTGCAGTGTGAGAACCATGTGGGCCTGGACCATATGGGCCTGGACCAGGAGCAGCTCTCCTCCACACTCACCGTGCTCAGGCACCTGCAGCAGCATCTGGACGACTTCAACCAGAGAGACCAACTCAACCTCGGACCATTCCACCTCGACAACCAGCTGGCTGTGCCCACAGAGAGGTGAGCGCAGAGGGAGAGCACAGAGAGCAGAGCACACTGGGAGAAAGCACAGAGAGGAGAGAGCACAGAGAGGAGAGAGCAGAGAGGAGAGAGCGCAGAGGGAGAGCGCACAGAGGGAGAGCACAGAGAGGAGAGCACAGAGGAGAGAGCACAGAGGAGAGAGCACAGAGGAGAGAGCACAGAGGAGAGAGCACAGAGGAGAGAGCACAGAGGAGAGAGCACAGAGGGAGAGCACAGAGAGGAGAGCACAGAGGAGAGAGCACAGAGGAGAGAGCACAGAGGAGAGAGCACAGAGGAGAGAACACAGAGAGGAGAGAGCACAGAGAGGAGAGAGCACAGAGAGGAGAGAGCACAGAGGAGAGAGCACAGAGGGAGAGCACAGAGGGAGAGCACAGAGGAGAGAGCACAGAGAGGAGAGAGCACAGAGAGGAGAGAGCACAGAGAGGAGAGAGCACAGAGAGAGAGCACACAGAGGGAGAGCACAGAGAGAGGAGAGAGCACAGAGAGGAGAGAGCAGAGAGGAGAGAGCACAGAGGGGAGAGCACAGAGAGGAGAGCACAGAGAGGAGAGAGCACAGAGGGAGAGCACAGAGAGGAGAGAGCACAGAGGGAGAGCACAGAGAGGAGAGAGCACAGAGGAGAGAGCACAGAGAGGAGAGAGCACAGAGAGGAGAGAGCACAGAGGGAGAGCACAGAGGAGAGAGCACAGAGGAGAGAGCACAGAGAGGAGAGAGCACAGAGGAGAGAGCACAGAGAGGAGAGAGCACAGAGAGGAGAGAGCAAAGAGAGGAGAGAGCACAGAGGGAGAGCACAGAGGGAGTGAGCACAGAGGGAGAGAGCACAGAGAGGAGAGAGCACAGAGGGAGAGCACAGAGAGGAGAGAGCACAGAGGGAGTGAGCACAGAGGGAGTGAGCACAGAGGGAGAGAGCACAGAGGGAGAGAGCACAGAGGGAGAGAACACAGAGGGAGAGAGCACAGAGGGAGAGAGCACAGAGGGAGAGAGCACAGAGGGAGTGAGCACAGAGGGAGTGAGCACAGAGGGAGAGAGCACAGAGGGAGAGAGCACAGAGGGAGAGAGCACAGAGGGAGAGAGCACAGAGGGAGAGAACACAGAGGGAGAGAGCACAGAGGGAAAGAGCACAGAGGGAAAGAGCACAGAGGGAGAGAGCACAGAGGGAGAGAGCACAGAGGGAGAGAGAGAAGAGAGCGCACAGAGGGAGAGAGCACAGAGGGAGAGAGCGCAGAGGGAGAGCGCACAGAGGGAGAGCACAGAGAGGAGAGCACAGAGGGAGAGAGCACAGAGGGAAAGAGCACAGAGGGAAAGAGCACAGAGGGAGAGAGCACAGAGGGAGAGAGCACAGAGGGAGAGAGCACAGAGGAGAGAGCACAGAGGGAGAGCACAGAGGAGAGAGCACAGAGACGAACCTGACAGTGGTCCTCTGTCTGCTCTGTCACAGAGACAGAGGTGCGTAGGCCTCCGATACTTGCCCGTTGTAGAAGCCTGGAGCTGTGCAGAACACAGAAAACTGTGGCAGTTAAAATGGGTTTGTCATTATTTACCTGTTTAACTGACAGCACCGATTATTATTACCATAGTATAAGTATTATTATTATTACTATAGGATAGGTATTATTATCATTACTTAAGTATTGTCCCCTCCCACAGCCCACAGCAGGTCCAGATCATCCATCCATCCATTTTCTTCCCCTTAATCCATTTCTGGGTCGGGGGGTGGCAGTCAGAGCTGCACCCAGTACACAGAGCACCAGCCCCTCACTGATCCTCCTGCAGGTGGTGAGTCCACAGGAGCTGAGATCTTTTCAGTTGGGGCTTTGGGCAAAGTAGGGTTAAGTGTCTTGCCCAAGGACACAACGACAGCAGTCATCAGTGGGAGTCGTGAAGTAGGTTATTATTACGATAGTATAAGTATTATTATCATTACTATAGTATAAGTATTATATCATTACTATAGTATAAGTATTATTATCATTACTATAGTATAAGTATTATTATCATTACTATAGTATAAGTATTATTATCATTACTATAGTATAAGTATTGTCCTTGGCTCCTCCCACAGCCCGCGCCAGGTCGAGATCAGCGCGTCTCTCATCTACAAACTCCCGGTGGTGTTTGACCGTCTGCGGTGCGTCGCAAAGGCCACGGCAGTGCAGCTGTTCTGGGCCGTGGCGGGCGGCGAGACGCCGGAGGAGGAGCCTCTGCAGTTCTACGAGGTGCAGATCAAAGCGCTGCACCCGAGCGTGGACGAGCACGGCCCATACGAACAGTACGCGGTGCAGGGGATGCATCTCTGCGTGGAGCCGCTGCTCCCTGAGCGATGCTATCAGTTCACTGTGAAGCGACTGGACGGAACAGGACTGGTGCTGCGGGATTGGACCGACGAGATGACCATGACGACCACATCGCTGTAGACGAGATCACCATGACAACCGCAGCACTGTAGACGAGATCACCATGACGACCGCAGCGCTGTAGACGAGATCACCATGACGACCACAGCGCTGTAGACGAGACACACAAACACACATATGATACCTTTAATAAATGTATATACTGTTACTTTGTCTGTGTATCTGTATCTGTCTGCGTGTCTGTGTGTGTCTGTGCGTGTCTGTGCGTGTCTGTGTGTGTCTGTGTGTGTCTGTGTGTGTCTGTGTGTGTATGTGTCCAATCCACTTTATTCATAGTGCGTGCAGTGTGATTGTGGCGGCTGTATTAAACCACTAAAATCATATATTACATACTGTCCCTTTAAAAGAGAGAGTTTACAAAGTGCATCAAAACAATCCTAATGGTCCTTGGGAGAATTCAAAGTGCTTTGTCTGAGCGTCACCTAGCACCTGTTTGCCCTGGGGTCCTGCAGCCTGCTACAAATAATAACATTAGGAACATATTACTAGATACATAGATACTAGATACAGATGTGGCCCAGGGGGAGACCACGCTGCAGGGACTGTCTGACTTGAGAACAACTTGGGAGTCCCCTAGATGAGCTGTAGGAAGTCTGTGTGGAGAGGGACCCACGCTTAATCGTCAGACGATTTGTTTGAGAAGGTAAGAAAGTGTTGACCTTGAACACTTTCAGTTCTTTGAAATGGTCAATCCTCCATCTGTCTCCTATGTGTTTGTCATTGTATTTCCTGTATTTGAATTGACTTGATTCTCTGATTTGATGTTGGAAAATCGTCAACTTTGCAAATTTTCTCTGTTTTTCCATTCAATACGTACAATTCTGTATTTTTTAAAATTGATTTACCATAATCCGGCGCTAGGACCCGGAGCGATCGGGAGGAACCGGCAGCAGCAGACACTCGCGCATGCGCAGTAAACCCGCGCTCACATCCCTCCAGACAGCGATGAGTCTGTGATCCGAGTGACCGAGAGGAGAGGCTGAAGAGCGGGGAGACAGACCCACACGACTCCCAGAGGGACCCAGACAAGAGGCTGAAGAGCAGGGGACACACAACCGGACACGACCCCCGGACTGAAGAGAACCACGGAGGAGCGAGGAGTGTGGCATTAAACCCCCAAGCCCTCCCCACAGAGCCCTCTCTCCTCCCCGCGTGTGAGGCTCCTCTCCCCGTGGCTGCGGTCCTCCTCTCCCCGCAGACATGTCGGTGCTGGCGCTGCACGAGTATGAGTTTGAGCGACTGTTTAACGAGGACGAGGCGATCCGCTGGATGCAGGAAAACTGGTGAGAGACACGGACATGGGCGCTGCTTGTACCCGGGATACAACGCCTCTGAGCCCGCTACACACACACAGTACACACCGCTGCACATCCACACCATCCACCATCTCCCAGTCTAAGGCCCATCATTCACGCATTGACCCTGATTGAGTTATTTGTCTTGGGTAATAGCGTTGTTATAGCAGCGCGGTGGATGGACTGGGCCTGTCTATGTCATCCTCGTGTTTGGATGGATTTCCTCCGTGCTCCGGTTTCCACCCATCACCTAAAACATGCACTGTTGTGTGTATCTGGTGAGGGAATGATTGTGCCTCTGGACGCCTGTGCCAGTCTGTCCCAGGGCAGCTGTGGCTACACTAGTAGTTTACCACCTCAGTGTGTGGAAGGTATGAATGAATGAATGAATGAAGTTGACATTTTCTAAAGTATTTGTGTACAGCATTAAATCACAACAGCAGCGGTCTCAGAGGACTTAACAAAGATAAGGGGACCACTGTCCAGAAATGTCCTAGATACTCATTGTCCTTAGACCAACCTTCATTGGCAAGGAACAGCTCAAATAAATAAATAAAACCATTGGGGAAAAACGTGAGAAACCTCAGGATAACTGTAGATCCAGGACTGAGGCTGTAGACGCAGAACTGAGGCTGTAGATCCAGGACTGAGGCTGTAGATGCAGGACTGCGGCTGTAGATCCAGGACTGAGGCTGTAGCTCCAGGACTGAGGCTGTAGACCCAGGACTGAGGCTGTAGACCCAGGGCTGAGGCTGTAGACCCAGGACTGAGGCTGTAGCTCCAGGATTGAGGCTGTAGACCCAGGACTGAGGCTGTAGACCCAGGACTGAGGCTGTAGACCCAGGACTGAGGCTGTAGACCCAGGACTGAGGCTGTAGACCCAGGACTGAGGCTGTAGACCCAAGACTGAGGCTGTAGACCCAGGACTGAGGCTGTAGACCCAGGACTGAGGCTGTAGACCCAGGACTGAGGCTGTAGACCCAGGACTGAGGCTGTAGATCCAGGACTGAGGCTGTAGACCCAGGACTGAGGCTGTAGACCCAGGACTGAGGCTGTAGACCCAGGACTGAGGCTGTAGCTCCAGGACTGAAGCTGTAGATCCAGGACTGAGGAGGATGAAGGGGGTTCAACCCACAAGTCCTGGCCAGTGGAGACCAGTCCATAGGTGTTTAAGAAAGTTACTTGTGAGTCCCTATTTAAAAAGAGTTATTTGCATTAAGGAAATGTTGTCCTTCTGTTTGATCTGAACTAAAATATAGAAATAGATGATAAAGGCAAGATATTTCTACAAAAAATAATCTACAAAAAAACCCCAACCAATACAATGCATCTGTCTGAATGGCCCTGAAGCAGGATAATCCCAGTTTTATCTTTTGTGTAAACGTTTTGTTTTGTCAACATAAATTAGCTGCAGCTTGACACGGTTGGAACTGAATTATAACAAAGTGTAAAAGTGAATTAATCTGCTGGAATCTCACGCACAAAATCCTGCTAAGCTAACGGTCTGGGACACCTCATAGAAGCACAAGAGAATTATATGAATGAATGAAGCTTTTATTACGGACTCATGGTCCAACATTGACACACACAAAAAAGGACAAAACATACAAGACAGACAACTATACCAGTGCGCCCACATCCTCGACTGATAACGGGCCGCACTACAACGGATATCCACCAGTGACACAACTAGTTCATTGACAGACCTGTTCAACTGTCCAATGAAGCTGTACATGAGCGCCCGCAGTGTGGCCTGAAAGGTGTTGACTCTTGCAGT